TGGCATCTTTTTTGTAAGCTTATTTTCTTCATTTCTGAAAGTAACCACTATTAACAATTTTTTTTAACCAGGTATAGTGACATACTTCTACAGTCCAGATTGGGAGGCAGACACAGGAGGCTTCTTTGAGCCCAGGAATTTGAAATCAGCCTGCATGGCAGAGCATAGCAACATCCTTTCAAAAAATAAATTTTTTGTAGATATTTTCCTTCCTTCCTTTCATCAATAGAGATTGACTAACCAAAGTATGTAATTTTTATCAAAAGCATTGAGCTTCTGTAGATTTTTAGTTTTTAATAAGTAACTTAATAACCTATTTAAATCAATTACTTAATCAAAATATGCTTGCAATGGTAGCAGTGGTATTTTTTCCTCCTGAGTCATTCTGAATAACCATTTCCATTTGCTGAATCACTCATTGTAATCAAGTAAGTTGTACACTCAACAACAGGATGAGAGGTGAGTCACAGCATGTACCTACACAAATTAATACAGCTATGCCAGTAGGCAATAGAATCTTAAGGGACTAGCATTGTCATGTACACCATTATTAACTTTTCCAGTTTCATCTTTGATTTGTTGTAATTGAAATACTATAATGCATAGTTGTAGTTTGGGGAAGTTTTGTTCTGTGTGCATGTATCATGCTTTGGTGACCTCTGAAGTTTCATGGATCTGTGGTTTGTGACCAAAAGTGGTATGAGGAATTCTCAGTCATTACTGTTTCAAATATTTCTCCTGCTCCTTCTATTGTTCTGTTTCTGGTATTCCTGTTATGTGTGCTTACACTTTTGCTTATTATCCCACGTCTTGGATATTCCATTATATTGTTTCTTACATTTTATTTAGGGTTGCTTTTCAATTGGGGCAGTTTCTATCAAGATACGTTTCAGTTCAGAGACTCTTCAGCAGTGCCTACTAAAATGACTTTTTTTTTTTGATAATCTTAATATGTAGCTCAGACTAACCTCAGTTCTCCATGTAACACAGACTGATCTTCAACTATGCTCATTAGAGACTATTCAGCTTATCTGAGGCATAGAATCAGCATAGTTGTGCTGGTGGCTTTACTATATCCTGTTTTGTATAACCTTTCAGATAATTTCCCAGCAATGGAATTTCTGGGTTTTTTTTTTATGTACCTCCATTCTGCTTTCCAGAATAGTTGAACACATTATTTTTGCTACAAAGATTTCTTTAGGGTTTGTTTTTGGTTCTTAGAATTTTCATCTCTGTTTCATTATCCATCTGCTCTTACATGTTATTGACTTTGTCCATTAGAACCCTTTGCACATTCATCATAGTTATTCTAAACTCAGCATCCTCACCATGTATAAGTCTAGCCTGATGTTTGCTCTATATCAAAGTAGGTTTTTTTGTTTGTTTGCCTTTTATTATGCCTTGTGATTTTTTTCTTGGTAGCTAGATATGATAAACTAGGTGAGTTTTATATCTTCAAGTCAAAAGTTGGAGTTTAAATAAGTCAAGCTCCTTCGTACTTTCCTTCTGTTGATGCTGTACTAAATGTCTGCCTATTCCAGTGGAATTTTATTGACACTTTGTCACTACATTCAGTCTTTTCCTGAGAAAGATTTTTATCTAGGTAATACTAAGGAACATCTGTGGTCTTGTGCTTTAGGATTCTGGGTCCCCAAACTGGAGGACTACCTTAAATTGTCTCTATCTTACAAACTTTGTCCTCTATTTGACTGAGCTGATTCTTCCTTCCTAGTATAATTTAAGTTCCTCTAGATCTCCAATAACAGTAATTATCTAATTTCCACTGGCTCTTGCTGTCATCAGCTCATGGAGGCATCCAACCCAGCATAAGAGGAACCTTCTTACTCTGTTCTAGTTGTCTATTACTGCATTCAAAAAGCAGCTTATGAGCTGGGAAGTAGCTCAGTGGCAAAGCACTTGGTTAGCAAGTGTAACGTCCTGGGTTCAATCCCCAGTACCAAAAAAAGAAAAGGAAAAGACAAAAAGCAGCATATCCAGGCACTGGTGGCTCATACCTATATTCCTAGCTACTCTAGAAGCTGAGGTCTGAGGATCACAGTTTGAAACCAGCCTGGATAGGAAAATCCATGTGACTCTTACTTCCAATTAACCATCAAAAAAGGTGGAAGTGGAGCTATGGCTCAGATAGTAGACTACTACCCTTGAACATAAAAGCTCAAGGACAGCCCTGAGTTTAAGCTTCAAGACACACACACACAGAGCAGATTAACATTTAGTGAGCAATTTACCATTTCTCATAGTTCTGTCTGTTGGTTCTGCTCTTGCTGGACTTCCTTATGTGTCTCTAGTCAGGTGAGTTAACTGAAGAGTAGATGGTCTTGCATGGCCTCACTCATATTCTGGGACCACAGCTGTAGTAGCTGAAGTGACTTACACAATCTCTCTCCATGTGATCTTCTTGTCCACATGATGTCTGATCATCTGACAATTAGTCTTTATCATGATGGAAGCATCCCACAAGATTAAAGAGAAAACTGCAAAAACTTGAGTTAAAGTTCCTTATTTGTCTAGCATTACTTCTGCTACAATCTCCTCATCCAAGCCAATAGTAGGTAGGTCCAGATTCAAAAGGTAAGGAAATAGACTGGTTTTCTTGCTAGGAAAAAGTGCAAAAATGTCATGGCCATAATTTATCACAACTGTCTTAGGTCCTCACCATCTTTAATCAAATAAATGCCACCCCTTCTAGTAGACATTGGTACTTTAAGATATAGCCAGGGCTGAGAATATGGCCCAGTTGTAGAGTGCTTGCCTAGCATGTTTGAAGCTCTGGGTTCAATTCCTCAGCACCACATAAATAGAAAAAGCTGGAAGTGGTACTATGGCTCAAGTGGTGGAGTGCTAGTCTTGAGCCCAGAGAAATTTCAGGAACAAAGCCCAAGGCCTGAGTTCAAGTTTCAGGACTGGCAAACAAAAAAGCAGTATAAAGATATAGCCATTGTTCTGTGCTCAGTGGAACTACTATATATACACCCATTTGATTCATGTCTTATACAGTATTACAATGTCTACTACTTAGCTGCCTTTGTTCTGACTAGAGACTATGACCAATGTGGCAGAACCCTTCATTTAAAAAAATGTTGTTATGCTTCCAGACCAACATTTTGCTGGTTAATTGGAGATGGACTTTTCTGACCAGGCTGGATTTGAACTGTGATCCTCCAAATCTCAGCCTCTTGAGTAGCTAGGATTATAGGTGTAAGGTGCCAACGCTCTGTTTTTATCTATTCATACTCATTGTTTTCCTTTAATTTTTGTTAAGAAATGGAGTTATCTGTACCATTAAATCTTCCACATTCTAAATTTTGTTGATTATATTTCCATAGCGTCATTTATTATAGCCTATTTTTCTTCAGTACCACATAAGCAGAAAAAGCTGGAAGTGGCGCTGTGGCTTAAGTGGTACAGTGCTAGCCTTGAGCTGAAGAGCTTAGGCACAGCGCCCAGGCCCAGAGTTAAGGCCCCACGACCAACCAAAAAAAAAAAAAAGATTACTTTCTCATAAAAATAATTATGTATTATTTTAAGATAATGTGTGCTTATTAGGTATTTTTAAATGAAAATTATTAGATATTTCATAAGGTATCTCATATGAGATCTCTAATGGAAAAATTATGAAAAGAATAGTATTTCAGCAAATTTTAGTTATCAACATATGCATTAGTACCAGTGGAAACTTTTATCATTTATGAAATAAGGTAACACAAAGAAGTACTAGTTGGCCTTAGATTGGACATTAAAGCATGCATTAAAATAATTATGTATGTATTAAAGTATACATCATTCCCTTGTTAATTAATCTGTGTTAATGTGATCGGTAGAACAAAGAAGAGATGAATTAACAAACATATTCACCCACCAGAAACACAAAATTGGGTTTCCTATATTAAGTTTAGTATTCTCATTTCAATATGAGATAAAGCATCTAATTCCTATTCTACTCTAAAAATATATGGCTCTAGACATGATTATAACACATTAGGGTAATCTTCCTAAGTACAATTTGTTGGGGTTGACCAAATGAAGTTATTCCTCTTATTTCCTGCCATTTACCAAAAATCATTCCAGCTCATCTTTCTAAATCACTCTTCATATTTAATTATACTTTGTCTATTCAGACTATAGTGTTTTCTGCACAGATACTATTGTATTTACTCTTACTAGGAGAGCCATAAAAATACTGTGCTTAGGAAGTATAGTTGTGTCTCAAATGGTAGAACAAAAAAGTTCAAGGATAGCACCCATCCTGAGTTCAAGCCCCAAGATTGGCACCCACACATACACAGAACATACTGTGCTTAAATAAATTCGAGTTAAAACTAATTTGTCCTGTATTCTCTGATGACTTGAGTTCCTTACAGGGTAGTATGTGTGTGAACAATGATAATCTCAATGGTACTATTAGAAAAGTTCTTGCATTGTTGATTATTTAAGTAAGTTATTATAACTGAGTTCTGCTATATAATTTCAGAAGCATAATTGCATTTGTATTGATAAACAAATGTTTCCACACTATCCTCCAATGTAGGATGTTTACACTTTAATATGTTGGGAAGAATGTCTTATTATTCATTTGAGATGCCCTGTATTAAAATGATATGTGATTTGCTAAAAAGAGGACGAAGTGAGAAGTTGTTTGTGAGGTGAAAAATTCTCCAGAATTCACTTAAACTGCTGAATTGTATACTTAGAAATGGTTAAGATGTGGCCTGGTGCTGGTGGCTCACACCTATAATCCTAGTTACTCAAGAAGCTGAGACCTGACATCTCTTCATGGTTCCTTTGATATATGGTGATACTGTGGAGGTTTGAAGCTTGAGGTTTAGGAGCTTGAAAGTTTTATCTGTCCCTGGAAATCCCAGGTCACATGTCAATGCACTGGGATGTGGTAGGCATGCATCCAGGCAAGGTTAACTATTAAGTTGTTGGGATGAAAGGTCAGGAGACCTACCTTTAATAGGCGCATCAAAATGGGAAGAACACATTGGTAGTTACAGTCCACCTTCTTAAAGGAAAAGAAGAAAGAACACAGCCAGAGAAGTCTTCCTTCAAGAAGTTATCCAAGAATCATTATGGAGAATTTCTGCAACTCTACTTTTTGGGTGAGATATTACATTTATTCTCATTGTTTTTTCAACTCAAGAGTAGAGGTATATTTTACTAGAGTAGACAGCAACAAGAAAAGTTAGCAGTGAAACTGGATTATAGCTCAGGCTTTTGAATAAAAAGACAATTCACACTGCCTCCAGAGGAAAAGATAATAGAATTTATTCTTTAACATGTATTTTGTGTATCTCAGATTGTTTTCTTGAACTAGCTACCTGCAGTATTGCCTTCTCCACAAAGAAATGAGGGGAGAAAACGTTCCGATTTCTTTGGTGTTAGTAATGATAATTTTTATACACTTTGGGGGCTAAAAAGAGAAGCTCTATGACTGAGTATTGATATATGTGGATAATAATATGGTAATAATGTGTTCTAGAGGAACTGGTAACAGAGTATAGACCAGAAGATGAGGATGGGTACAAGTTTAGGCATTCTGAGATAATTTTTGAACAATTAGAATTGGGCAATACTGTGTTTTGAGAAGGTAAAGAAGAAGCACCACTGAAGGAGTGGTCAGGTATTTGGAAGCATAAAGAATAGTATAACATCTAGAAGCCTCAGCAGAGAGTTTCAAGATAGAAGGCAGCCACCATTATCAAGTAGCTTAGTGGAACAGAGAATTAAGCTAGGTGCCCCTGTGCCATACTTATTTTTAACTATTTGGGAGGCAGATATTTGGAAGATCATGTTCAACCCAACCTGAGCAGAAAAGTCAGAGAGACTCCATCTCCAATCAGTCAAATGCTGGAGCTGGAGGTGTGGCAGAAAACTCAGTTGAGCCTCTGAGTTTAAGCCCCCCTATTAACATGAGAGTGAGAAAGAGAGTGAGAGACAGAGATTATTTCTAGCACTGTCAGATCAGACCAGGACATGAATACCACAGGAAGGTGGTATTTTTTTTTCTTTTTTCTTTGTCAGTCCTGGGACTGTCCCTGAGCTCTTTGGCTCATGGCTAGTACTCTACCACTTTGAGTCACAGTGCCATTTCCGGTGTTCTGGTGGTAAATTGAAGATAAATGTCTCATGGATTTTCCTGCCCAGGCTGGCTTTAAACCATGATTCTCAGATCTTACCTCATGAGTAGCTAGGATTAGAGGTGTGAGCCACCAGTACCCACCATCACTTCTTGAGAAGTCCTGAGATTACCTGACAAATCAGGCACTTCAACTTTTTTTTAATACAGTCTGTACCAATACTCATATGAAACAATATAAAACTAAAGGAAAAATTTTAAAATCTTCATTCACACAACTCAGTGGTCTCCCAACCACAAGACACTTCTATTTATTGTGTTGTATGGTGAGAAAACAGAGAAGCCATATTTTGAAAGATCGAATTGAGAGTCTTTATTAAAGGGCAAGTGACTACATGGTATACTCCCATCTCAAAGACCAGCAGCCCTACACAAAGCTGGCACCAAGCTTTTTAAGACAACAACCACATGCTTGGGGTAGAGACCAAGCCTCAACAAAAGCAGACCTTATATGGACATGCTCAGGTACAAGCACAGGTATCAGCAGAACTTTTCCATCTAGGGAAGTTACACCTCAACTTTCTACATAGGGAGAAGTCTTAGAGGCTACTCAAAGGTGTGTGATCCAAGCCATTTAGGGAGGTAATAATCAAGGAAGAGTCTGAACATTCTCTATGCAAAGCTTTTCTAAAGCTATGACAATCTGCATTTTTCTAAAGCAGAGCCCTCCTTGTTCACCGTAAGCTAGGTATCTGCATTTACTGAATGGCTTCTCTCATCCCTAGGCTTTTCAGTGCTGGGTGGAAAATTCCCTCAACTCAGCAAGAGGCACCAAGGTAGCTGTAAGAAGTTACTTGGACTCAGACTCTTTACTTCAATTTTACAGTGTACAAAGACTGGTGCAGACCTTGCTGGGAGCTTTCTGTTGATCTTGTGCTTAAATTGACCAAACTGTCTTGATTTTTTTTAAATAAGCCCTTTGGACCATATAGGTCCATATGTCATATGATGAATAGGTGTTCTGTTGACTAGTGCCTACATGTTTGACCATTTGACAGTGAGCTCATCTAGTGCTAGAAAATAAATAATAATACAGTTTTATATCCAGGTAGATATTCTCCCCATTGCATTGAGGAATAGTCCCTTTTCTTAAAATTTGGCAAATATTTTGAGTTTCACTCAGAAGAGCTGATACAAAAATTTGCATTATCTAGCATAGCTGGTATAGAAATAACAGAAAAATAGGTGCTTAGAGATTGAGATGGCTAGAAAAGTCACTGAACATGAAGTGGAGAATTTATGTCAATGAGGATGAACAAGAAAATATAAAGAATTCCAGTTTTAGTATTTGGGCTGCCCAAGGAAGCACATATTTAAAGGGTAAGGCTGGATGTAGATGTGGAGTTGAATTTAAAAATTACTTGGAAGCTTGTAGGGTGTGTGGGGGATGGGCTTGTTTAAAAGAATGCATGTATCCAGAAATACTTTCTACCTTCTCAGAATTCCTCATACCTGAACACCCCGGAGGCAGACCTGCCACTTTGTTTTGAACAGACTGTTCTGGTATGGATTCCCCTGGGTTTTCTTTGGCTCCTGGCACCTTGGCAACTTTTCCATGTATATAGATCCAGAACCAAGACATCTTCTATAACTAAATTCTACCTCGCTAAACAGGTACAGTAACCCTCTCTATTTTTACTCCACTTCCTTGTGGCACAGATTCTCTTTTTTCCTTCCTTCCTTCCTTCCTTCCTTCCTTTCTTTCTTTCTTTCTTTCTTTCTTTCTTTCTTTCTTTCTTTCTTTCTTTCTTTC